ATAATGAGTTACTTAATGCACAAAGGCAGAACATACCATACAGAAAACTCAGATCAACCAACAATGACCCTAAATGGATAAATAATTATTTAAAGAATATTATTTGCAAAAGGAAGGCTATAGGTAGGAGAATAACTCACGGTGAAGTCTACCTCCGAGATTATTATAAGGTATTGGCCGGTAGGGTTAAGACCGAGATAAGAAAAGCAAAGAGGAATAATGAGCTGAGGATAGCAAGGGAGGCGAAGTCAAGCCCCAAGGGATTCAATCAATTGTATTGAACTAAAACGCGAGAAAAGATTTGGACTAATACAGTCAGATATCGGCGAGCTAACTGATAATGACTGGAAGCAATCATTTCCAACTCTATTCGAAATCACCTGGAGAAGCACAAGTTGATCAATGATTCCCAACATGGCTTCACAAGCGGGCGTTCATGTCTAACTAATCTATTAACATTCTTTTCCTCTGTTTTCGAATCAGTGGATGAGGGGCACAATTATGATGTGGTATATCTCGACTTTAGCAAAGCCTTCGACAAGAGTCCCAACCCACGAATACTAATAAGAAAGGTGGACACTCGTGGCATTCAAGGAGATATTCTAAAATGGATCAAGGCATGGTTACAGGACAGGAAATAGCGAATGAGCATTAACGGCACTAAGGGCCATATTCAAGAACAGTTATGGGGTGTACGACGCCACTTACAATGACCTTCTTGCCCTGATCTTTTTTCAGCAATATCGCCTTTAACATATGGAACTCTGCACTTTTCGAAGCTTTGGAGGAGTCTCGAAGCAAGTTTCCTGGTGGAAATTATTAGCTAGTGCTGTATTCAAAATATCGAAACTTTGAGATCTCTCCAGAGCTTCGAAAAGGTGGTATTCCTGAAACAAGATCAGGGCAAGAAGTTCATCGTAAATGGCGTCGTACACCCCATGACTGTTCTTGAATACAGCCTTAAATCCGATTGGAACGTCACCAGTGGAGTTCCCAAGACTCAGTATTTGGACCATTATTATTTATTATATACATAAACGGCATAGATATCGGCGTAGACCGCAACATAAGTAAATTTGCTGATGACACTAAAATAGGGCGTGTAATTAAATCTAATGAGGACTCCGCAAAACTACAGGACGATCTAAAAAAATATTTCAAATGGTCTGAAAAATGGCAGACAAAATTAAATGTGGACAAATGTAAAGTACTCAGTATAGGAGATGTACACAGGGAAGCCAGATACCAGATGAACAACGATGTTATTGAGAAATCCGACTGCGAGAAAGATTTAGGGGTAATGATAAGTAGGAATCTTAAGCCAAGTAAACAATGTGTATTTGCTCGAAACAAGGCTAATAAAGTACAGTACTCCCTCTTTATCGACGGATTTTTTATCGACGGTTTTGATTATCGACGGATGCAGACCTTGACTCATCATACTCATCTGACTGGTCAGGCTTTTAATAAGCCTCAATCATCACACTTGTATATACTGTACACTGTATTGTTTACTGTAAGGACCGATGTTCACTTCAATAAATGAAATCGTAAGTTTGCTAGTATTTTTGTCCACTTATTATATTATTATTTATACACTATTATTTAAGGTTATGTGTAAAGGAAACGCATTAATGCTTAAAGGTACATTTATTCAACATATGCTAATAATAGTTAGAAAAATTACGTAACCATCACGGTATCGACGGTTTCTTTATCGACGGCCGTCTACAGAACGTAACCCCCGTCGATAAAGAGGGAGTACTGTACTTGGGTTCATACAAAGGAGTGTTTGTTACAAGACTAGCAAGGTCATCCTAAAACTATATATTGCACTTGCGAGGCCTCACTTGGATTGCGCAGTTCAATTCTGGTCACCGTATAACAGAATGGATATAGAATCCCCGGAGAGAATTTGGAGGAGAATGACAAGGCTAATCCCGGGCATTAGGAACCGTGAGTACAGAGACAGGTTAAAGCATCTTAATTTGCACTCCCTCGAGAGACGTAGAGTGAGGGGCGATATGATAGAAGTGTATAAATGGAAGTAAGGGCTGAACAAAGGGGACATTACAAAGGTACTCAAACTATCCAACCAGGAGCGAACTCGTAAGAATGGTTTTAAATTAGACAAATTTAGATTTAGGCGCAAAATAGGCAAACATTGTTTTGGAAATAGAGTAGTGGACGAGTGGAACAAGTTACCAAATATCATCATTAACTCGAATACGCTGGATAGCTTCAAACATAGGTTGGATGGATATTTGAGCAATAGGGGTTGGGTGTAAATTGGACTGCCCAGTATTGGCCAATAGACCCACTGCAGTTTCCTCCACTCTTATGTTCTTAACACACTGTAGAATATGCTGCTATTTTTTTTTTCCTATACAGAAGAAAGCATCACAGCTTGGCAGTTACTTTTTTTCACCCACTGTGACTAAGCGGTTGGCTGAACGTAACATAATAACCAGGGTAGATTACCTGTGAATGGGCGAGCTTACCACAGTAAATACTGTTAATTTTTTTATTTGCCATCTGACGAAACAAAATTCCCCTCGACTCAAAACACCACGCTGAGGCACTTTACATCATAGTGGGTGTCAAAATTATACTACCTCTAAATATAACTGGGATGTCAACTTTTTTTTTCAGTTGGTAGCTTATGCAGTATTTTGTACAATATTTGACAGGGCACTTTCCTGAGTAATGTTATTGCCAAAATGGGCTAAAAAGTAGTAAAAAAAAAAGTGTCCTGAATCTGATGGTATATTGTATAAGACCATAAAGAAACTGGGAAAACTTATCCTTAAGAAAACAAATGTGAGTGAAATATCTATTCAACTACTTGTAATAACTTGCAATTTAGTTGCCTCCCAGGACAAGTACAGTACAGGGTATTAATCATAGAGTGAGATGGTGACCATAGGAGCATGCTTGGCCAATTACTGCACTGCACCATCCTCTCAGGCTGCAATCAGCTACATTAGATGCCCAAAGACCTGTGGGGATGTGTATCGTTAAACCCATTTTCTCAGATTTTTGTTTCTGGTGATTGAATGCCTTTGGCAAGCTGCCCTGTGTCTATACCATTCACCAGGGGCAGATACAGAAATTTTGCAGGGAGCTCAATACAGCCATTGATAATGTAATCATAATCAATATCTTCCCTCAAGGTCTACTCATAACTACAGTTTATACAATAGTGTTATAAATATATATACTCGGTATATACAATACTGGATAAAGTTATAAAATGGTCTAATTAAATACCTCACCATTTTAAAATGCACTGTACATTTTAAAATTCATTTGCATAACTGTATTTAGGAGTAAACATAATTGGTCCTGTTGGGAAGCCACTCCTAATAGGACCATTGGACCAGAAATAGTTAAAAACATCAGCCTTAGTGACCTGATCTGGCCCAGTGGGCGAGAACGATTGAAGACGTGTTTGACCCCCACTACCGTCAGCAACACTCCCCTTCTTCTCCAACCTGTTCAGACCACCTCCACACTTACGGAGTAGCACCTAAGATATGCCCATTTGCCTCCTAAGTGGTGGTGGTAGGAGGAGGCTCACAGGCATCCCCCCCCCCCCCATCTACCACCAGAAGGAGGTTTGATCCCATTCATTTTTTCCACAGATGTTCTTATCAGTAGCTATAGAAAGAATTTTAAAAGAAGCAGGGCAAAAAGGATGATGGAAATTGTAGGGTGAAACTCGGCCCAAAACTGATCATATGGCACTAAAATGATGTCTCTACATACATGCTTTGTTCGCGAAGAAATTAATTATTTACTGTAAATACTCCTCCGAAAAATCTGCTGAATCGGCGTGTTGTTGTCATCTGCTCAGTTTCATTGTTTACAACCAACCCACTCAGTCCGAGCGTATTCTTACATCCAAAAAAAAAAAATTAAATCACACCATCACGCTTCAACAAAGTTCCATTCATTGGTACCAGATAACAAAATAAGTATTTTGTTTTATATGGCATGGGAGTCTAGGGGGTCTGCTAGGAAGTTAGGTAAGGTTAGGTTGGTTGGTTAGGTCAGGTTCTATTAGGTTCTTGTAAATGTTGCCGCTTTTAAAATACTTGCTGTAATGATAAGAACATGTAGAGAAAATGAATGAAATCAAACAGCTCCTCAGGTGGTAGTGCTGTTCTCAGACATTACCCTGACTTGTAATATTTGTTTCAAGCAACTAGTACAGTATTCATTTGCTGTTCCTGCACTATTCAATTTGTTCAAAAAGAAGGTCTTTCCTTGTATTTCTTAAGACAGATCTACGTTCTCATTAGCTTTTTTTGATCCACTTCGGTTCTTCTCAGTATTTAGTATGACCACATGATAAAAGTTTAATTTTTTTATGTCCACCACTTTGTTTTAAAATAAGAAAAAATGCTTAAAAATTCTGAAGAGATACTTTAGGATAAACTAGTTATTAAGTTTGATCAAGTCGAGCAATATATGACCAGCTACTGATCCACACCTTTATCAGTGCTTTAAGATCTAATTGTAGCAATAGATTGTTCTTACTTCATTTAACTACATGGTACAATATGCACATAAATATACCTGCTTAACAGTGCTTAAAATGACCTAAATGTGATACATGGTAAATTCTGCTCTAATCTACTTTACAGTGGTTTTAATTATAATTTGTTGTAAAATTTATAAACAAATGTACTCAAATAGCTCTTGCTAAACATTAAAAGAGAAATGCGTGTATGTGAGTAAGTTAGACTAGATCTCAGCTGTACATGAAGGTCAACACAATAATTACACACCATTCAAGACAGACAACTTGGACGGCCATAACCTGCCTAACACTTGATTTAATAAGCAATTCACTCTCACTGGTGGTTATATTTTTTATTTCCTGGTAAATATCCACGAAACTTGTGGTCATAAATCAGTTTGAGAGTACAGACTGTTTGAGGTTACGTCCCTGGGTCGGTGTGTCAAGTTGGTGGTCTACACTAGTCACTACTTACCGCCCTCCACAGCCGCTTCGGGGGCGGTGATTTCTTTAACATTCCTTCATGAACTATCTCCATATTGCCATGAACCATCTCCGCCGGCTGCTGACGTGAAGACACATATTAACCTCCGTCAAATAAGGTTTATACACTGATTATCACACACCATCCCCGCACACAGTTAAAGACACGATGACTACGCTCAACACTTGCTCTGATTGGCTGCTTTCCACCTTCTCGACATGTAAGATTGATGATGATTGGCCGTCAACAAGAGTTTTGCCCAATAAGATCCTCCTATGGAAACATATGAACCTAAGTGTTTATTAATGATATTTTCCCAAATTACGTGACTTTTTTGTGTTATTTCATTCATTTAAATATTAAATATAGGGTTTAAGATATTATGTCACAGTATTTTCTTGCTTTACAGCTTATAATTTAGATATATAGTTCACATTAGTTAACAGTGCATGTATACCAACAAGACAATATGTCATTAATAAGTGATTCATATATTTGTGTATTCCTTTCTAGTCCACAGCTGTATTGTGACCTTTAATAAAGTTACTCGAATAATTCAAGTGCATGTTGCGTTAAGATGATTTTGTTACCTTAGTCTCTACGTGAATTAATCAAATAGGAACGAAAATAGGTAAAGTACCTGTATAATGAGGTGATCGGCTGAAGGTGTGTGTGTAAAAATCAAGCCTTTTCGCCTCGGCCAAGGTAACAGAGTAATTAACATTATTATATTACGCAGACATTAATTAATTATCTATATTCCAATTACCTCACTTAATGGTACAGCACACGGAGGTAGGGGGTGGGTGAGTCAGTGTTTAAAACATGTACGTATGCAGACATTCTTTTTTCTATATAGATAAATTCCCAATTAAACTGAGTAAAAGAAAACCCTTGTATAGTTCAATCTCAGTATAAAATTTGATATGTAATTCGGGGTATGGACACAACCCACTCCCTTTAATTTGACCACTGCAGCCTGCAATATAAGAGAGGTGTTAGTGGTGTTTGGGGTGGGTGGATACAAGTACTAATAGGTTTTTACTAAGGAGAAAGATTTCTAGTTTGGAAGAGAGAAAAGTGTGTGGTGCAGGATACGCTGAGGAATGAATGACTGGTTTGAGAGATTAGTGAACCGTCCATAGGTGCAAACACTCACACAGCTTATGAAGTATTCAATTGCTTATTTTATACTGTAGAAGGACAAGGGCCGATTTAGTACACGTTTATAAGTACCTCAAGAAGCATTACTCAGTAAAATGTACGTATCTGGAGTTTGCGGATGGCCGGCCCACTTGAGGTCACAAATTCAAGTTAAAGAAGCTACCAGTTCAGAAGACTTTCAAAGGTAACTTTTATGGAATAAGAGATGCGAAATCTTGGAGAAATCTGCCAGAAAATGTTGTGACGGTATCATGTGTGAGCGCCTCTAAGTCCAGGCTTGACCAACACTGCACTTGTTCAGTTACATTCAAGAGCCTGTACAGTACATGTCAACAAGCGTAACGGAACAGACTGACCGGCTGACAGGTGATGAAAATAATAGTGAAATAAATTTGTTACATCCTTACGAATATATAATGTAAAATTTTTCAAATTTGTTGCACTCATTAGCTTTAACTACACAATACCGGTAAGTAGGTGAAACATGATGCTAAGTTTACCTCAAAAGTAACCACAAAGTGTACAAAGCACAATGATGGAGACGGGGGGGGGGGGAGTAGAGCAGTGGGAGGTGCACAATGAGCTGCTTCCCTGTTGGTTAAAAATATTCTGTGGTATGTGATACGCGCCGTTGTTACAGGTTATTTAAAGATGACATTCCGCTAGTACAAAATGTATTTGTTTAAACTGCCGTGAAAACTTTGTTGTATGAGGAACCTAAGTTATCTCACAGAAAACGTCAATTGATGATAGTATCCATCAAATTTATATTGCTATTAAAAGGTTGATACTAATTCTCTAGATATTTTTGGGGTAGCGGTGGGTGTTGTGTGGGTATGGGAGGAAGGTGGAGGGTTACAATAGTGTGTTTGTGTGAGGGACCACGTACGCTCGCTAATGTCTCCTGTTGTGTGTCTGCCTCTACCATCTCTATGTATTCATTAGTTTGGTCCGCCGAAAATTTGTGTATCCGATCTGTATTTTTCCATGTAAGCTTGTGCGGCTGTACAATAAAAGCGGCACTCCAATAAAAAAGATTATTAAAACTAAAACAAATTAAATTTGAGAACCTAAACATGCACATAAAACCAAATTTAATTCCTCTATCCTGGATTTTTTTTTTAATTGACAGCAAACTTGGTGGGACGGAAGGACTTGTGGATGTACAGTACAGGTGTAGATTAATACCGTACATAATGGTTTCCACTTGTCCGTCCTACTTCAGTTAGCAAGTCACCTGTCCGACAACAGTGTAAATGTGAGGATAATCACTAAATGTGGAGTTCATTGATTATATGTTGACGTATACCAACAAAGAAGTGTTATAATCTTCAGAATTTTGTAGTAATATATTTCTTTATTTATTTTTGTACATTATATTATGCAGATACATAGTTTCAGTATGCTGGGTATACCCAACTCTATCGCTCGGCTACATGGTGTAGTCTGCCATGTGCTGTATTTATCTTATTTATTCATTATTTATTTATCATTACACTAGTGGCGAAATTATACAAGCTGATGGTGTGGTCTTTGTTTATAATCAGTATAAACCAGTGTAAAGGCCCGCCCACACGATCGACCAGTGCCTGGCGGGCACGCGCTAAATGCCCGTTATCGGGCAAAATTGGCGGGCAAACCAGCTGAGTGCTCGTGCCCGTCGTTGAGCGAAATCATGGTCAGCCTGCCTGGTGGTATATAAGTATTGCAAATGTGATACGTATACGTTCCCCGCTCAGTGCATATGCCCAGTGTATAACCAAATAAGCTTATGCATTGTACATTATTGGCGTGACAATAAATGGGAGATTGTTTATGTAATGAGGACATTCGTGTGTGTTCTTCGTTCCTGCCGCTCTCCTCACTCTAGTCCCATAGCTTCTTGTCTATGCATGTCATAATTCTAACATTATTCAATGAATTTTTATGTACTACAAATCTCACCTGCAAGTAATCTTCCTCGAGTACTTCATACATGGCTTCACACGTTGCAGGTATTTTGCGAGACAAACTTTGTTTCGATATCCTCGTGACGTGTAGGTGCACCCAGTTGAAAGACATACGAGCGTTGCCTCTAGACGAGCCTCTGCAGATATACTCTCCCTCATATTGGTATCCTGGTTTTTTATATATGGTTCCACTTTCGCTAGAAGTTTGGAAAAGGTGTTAGAGTCCATTCTCATGTAATTGGTGATGTCTCGCTCATGTCCATCTTGCAGTTCACGTAAAATCGTGGCATGACTTCCCAATACTTTTTTTCGACCTAACCACTCTATGCACCATTCCCTTTTTTGCATTTGGTTCTTCTTTTTGCACATAGCAGCAATTATTATAGTACACAACGATATGATCTTCGCTTTTAACTGTCCGGCCGATTATTCCTGCGATCGTACCGCACCCGCCACTGCGGACCACTTACTAGCGCCCGACTATGACTGCCGCCAACCACCCCCGTGTGTACAACAACACACAGGCTTTGCCCGGTAAAGGGGCAAAGCCCGCCGGGCACTGCTCTATCGTGTGGACGGGGCTTTAGTACAGGAGGTAATTAAGAGTACCCGGAGGAAACCTTTAATGGTCGTCACATCTGACCCAGGCTGGGAAATGAGCCCAGAACATAATGGTGAGAGATAAGGGCCACTACCTCTACACCAGCTCCCCATTATCTAATGTGGGAAATGAAGGATAATGTGTAGTGATCCCTTCAAACGAAGGAAAATATCTAAAAAGTGAGAATGTTAACTGAGAAAACTTGAACTCTTGTGGTATGATATAAGAAAATGGTTATTGTGCCCCCTTTGTGCCGCACGTAGAACAAAAAAAAACTAGTGCCAGTGCGGTGCTGTAAATTAAACGGGGAAGAATGATGTCAAGGAAAGGTGTACAGTATACGGTAGTCTATAAGTGCTGTGTTTTATAAGTGTGTATTGGGCTGAGTGGATACAGCGCTCGTTCTGTCTGGGGGTCACTTGTTCAATCCCGGTGCACATCCAGTCCACTTAACTGTAAATAAGTAAGTACCCAACTTTACGAAGTTGTGGGTGTGGAGCAGGTCGAGTGCAGTGACGGCCATGGTGCTGTATCCTCGCTTTCTCTGGCGGAATCATGCCTATGGGGTGGACGGAAATAAAGTCCACAGGAAAAAAGAGTCACATGACTTGTACACATTGACAACAATATATATATGATGCCATTGCACGTAGGTTAGGTTAAGTTAGGTTTTTTCCGTGCCTTTTTTTCCTGGATTCGCCTATGGGACCCACTTTCACTTTCTGTGTACATACATACAGGTATATGTACTCTTATAGAAAGCTACTTTGTGTGATTATTTGGCCGGGTAGGTCAGCAAGAATTCGTGACCAGCTGGTTACTGTTAATAATATTAAGACAGATTTCTTTCCTCCTTTTGAAATTGTTTAGTATGTCTGTCTGACGTTACATAAAGATTACCGCGAAATTTAAAGTAAATTGTTCATTATTTTTTTTTTGATAAAAGAGCGTCAACTTAGTCGAAATCAGCCTATTAATTTTTGAGTAATATAAGATTGCCAGACATAGACAAGAGGTATCCCTTTTTGTCTATCGGCGCAGATTAGAGTTAATAAAGTTCGAGATAATTTGTGAAGTTTGCTTGTCCGTCACTTATAAAACGAATGCTAGATAGTGTGTTCGATCAGATACACAGACAAAATCCCTTCGCGCAAAATCTCGCCAGATGATTTTTCAGTGAAAAACATTTTAACAGTGAAATGCTGAAGTGGACAACTTTTAACATTGCAAGCTCATTTTAAGTCCTAAAACCCCGTTACGTAAGATCAGGTCAGGTGAGAGGGTTTCAGATAGGGGGTTACTCCGTTGTTGCATCATTCAAGAAATGCTGGTACACACAGGATAAGTTATGTAGTTTCTTTAAATGAGCGCCCATCCGGTTGTGCTCTCAGTGGCGATGTTGATATTGTACTGTAATGTATTACTGCACTATAACAACTACGGTCTTAAGCACATAA